GGCAGCCATCGAAACTGCCAATATTCATGGCAAATTTGAGGACCTCCAACAGGAGCGTGCCGACGATTTAGCCCATCGGCAACAAGAGGCAGACAGACTAACTGCCAAGCAGCAAACCATAGACGACTTGACAGGCAAGCTCAATGTTGTCAATACTGCCCTACAGAGCCTACTTCGAGGAAGCGACAACCACATCAGGGGTGTAGCAAACCTCACCCCCATTCCATAAAAGCTTAAGATACCGGAGCCAAAGCCACACGACGGATCCCGGGATGCTAAAGAAGTGGAAAACTTCATCTTCGACATCGAACAATACTTCGATGCCGTGGGCCATTTGGAAGAATCCAAAAAGGTAGCGACTGCTGCCATGTATCTTCAGGGCGATGCCAAACTTTGGTGGCGGGTCAAATACGAAGCCATCAAGGCCGGTGAAGATACTCTCCAGACATGGGATGAATTGAAGGTAGCCATACGCCTGCAGTTCTTCCCCGAAAATGTGGAATACAATGCAAGGAGAAAGCTACGGGACCTCCGCCACACCAAATCAGTGAGGGAGTACGTGCGCGAATTCTCCGCACTCATGCTAAACATACGCGACATGGGGGACAAAGACAAACTCTTCGCATTCATAGAAGGTTTGAAACCTCATGCCCGTATGGAACTACAGAGACAACGGGTAGACACCCTGCCCAAGGCCATTCAAGCTGCAGAATGCCTTGGCGATTATCATTTGGGAACTCAGAACGACAGGCCCCAGCCGTCTGTCCGAGGGGGATTCAACGGGAACCATCCCAGCAATGGTGGCCCAAGCAAAAGTGGGGGAGATCGGAGTGCATCCAAAACTAAGACTCCTCCCTCCAGCAGCAACAGTGTTGCATCCATCAACAAAAATCAGGGGAGAAAGCCTCCCTCAGAATGTCGTCATTGCGGCGGGGCACATTGGAACAATGAATGCCCAAACATAAAGGACAATGCTCATTAGACTATCGAGGATGAGTCAGACGCATCAGACACATCAGAAGAAGACCAGGTATGCGTCTTCAATGCAATTGTTGGCTCTATTCTGCATGCCTTAGCGGGGACCAGTGCATGTCCTCCTAAGAAAATCTCAGTCTCAATCACCAAGAAAGGGAAGGAAAAGATGGACGAGAGACCTCCTAAACAAGCGAGGACCCTAATGTTCGTCGAATTGAAAGTGAACGGCAAGCCCCTTCACGCATTAATAGACACGGGTGCCACCCACAACTACTTGTTGTCAACTCAAGTAGAGCGTCTGGGTCTTGTTGTGCAAAAGAGCAAAGGCCGTGTCAAGGCTATCAACTCACCACCCCAGACATTGGGTGGAACAGCTACAAATGTCCTAGTGAAACTTGGCCCATACAAAGGAAGTATCAACCTGCGCATCGCAATCATAGATGACTTCGACATCATAGTAGGTTTGGAGTTCATGAGGCAAACCAACACCATACCAGTACCATATGTNCAACACAGCAAGTGTCGCGCGCGCCCACAGCAACGCGCGCGCAGACCCTGACCCACAAGACAAAATTGCTGCCATTNGACAAAGTAATGTTATGCATCCCAAAGCGATACTTGTTTGCAGAGAGGACCCATGACCCTCGCCGGAAACAAAAATACATCGGGCCCCTGCCCATCGAAANAGTGTGCTTCTACAGCTTTATTAGGACTAGTCATGTAATGTTGGTTTATTTTTTTAAGCATTATTAAGGGGGACCAAACAATCAAATATTTTCAAGCAAGCAATTTTCTGGTGTCTCTCCCCCTCGACACCACATCTTTTGTAATCAACATTTCAATCATCAATAAAATCATCATCATCATTCAAAACTCAATTTTCTCTCAGCTTCCGCAATTGCTCGTGACATTGGTTTTCCNCAAAAATACATCGGGCCCCTGCCCATCAAAAAACGCATTGGGAAGTCCACATACCAGGTGAAAATTTCATCCTGGTGGAAGATCCATCCAGTCTTCCATGTCAGCCGCATGAAATCATTACGTCGCTACAACAGTAAGCTCACAGAACAATAGGGCGCAGACCTCCCATCCAACAACCACCAGAAGCATCATCATCATTATCATCATAAGGCTCCGAGGACGGCGCCAACTCACGTAGGGGAGAATATCATTGGCCGCTTTCTAGACATGCCCCATGACCCCNCTCTCAGCTTCCGCAATTGCTCGTGACATTGGTTTTCCCGCACGACATTGACAATCTAGTCTAGCGTGCGGAGGGGACCTCATTGGCGGACAACAACCGCACTGACATCGGTTGCTTAGCCTTACGTTACCCTTCCAAAGAACATCAGGAAGGCGTTGCGTAACAGAAGTTATGCTTTGCTAAAGCTTTGGCAGAGAAGGTCTAAACTTCAGACACGCAATTTCAACATCAGATATGCACTATATTGAATCAAGCTTGTATGGTTGGCTTAAACAAAGTCTCGCACCATCAAACATATCTTTAAAATTTATATGTAGCTTCCTTTTCCTTTTTATTTATCAATGTAAAAGACTATTGTTCATAAACCCAACAAACTCCCTCGAACTGTTTTTCCCATCACCAAATCACTCGAACTAAGTTCCATATAGTCCAATGCCTCGAGAGCTTATGTGGAAATTCGGTGTATGCCACCTACATTAAATGTGTATTAAGTATTCATGTGAAAAGCCACATTATTATGCTCATTATTATGTTGTAAGCCACACTTAAAACTGAATTATAGTAATATTTTTTTGGGTAGGCAATTAGAAATTTTATTACCGCAGGAAAATATTTACAAACAAGTGAACTAAATTATGATGTTAAGATACATTAAATGTGTATTTTATCATAATTTTTAGTTTTGAAACAAAAGATTTTTATAGGTTGCTATGAGAGGCAGATGCAGAATTTTTAAGGTTTTTACAATTGAATTCGTTATATTTTTAAAGTTATGAGTTTATATCTACTATTTGTTACGATTTTAATTAATTACACGTAGATTTATGCTCCACATTGAAAGTTATGAGTTCAATTGAACTCATCGGTATAGTTATACATACGCCCCTGCTTGGTACGAGAGTTAGCTAGGTAGCTTTGACAATACGGGATCGGCTGAACCCGATCACTTTAGTCCAAACCTTATATTTATCTTGAGAAATTCATTTAATACAAAGTATATACAAATTACTAATAAAAATTGTTAGAACGCCAAACTCATAAACTTTAAATTTTAACTTCGCTTCTGATTAAGTGATTTGACTATCATGGTTTTTCACCGTATCAGTCTCTTCTCAAAAGGAAAAGAATACAGTCAAATCTCTTTATGACAACCTCGTTTGTTTCGAATTTTTTTTGTTGCTATAAAGGACATATATTATAACATAATATAATATTCAATTTGGGAAAAATTTGATTTTTATAGTAAATAGCTATTATATAAGAATGCAATTATAGAAAAGTGTGATTGTAGTACCTTTTTCTCTACTAGTCTAGCACCTAGAAAGAAAAAATTACCAGCCTAATCTCCATTAGAGAAAAGAAAAAGAATTCACTCGTGGCAACACGCAAGGAGAATGAGATGGTGACAATATTCCAGCATAAAATATTTTTAAAGGAAGCCAAAATCTTTTACAAGTTGTGTACTGCAGCTGACTGAGCAGACAAAATACTTAATTCCATACGCTGTTTCTGACCAATAGCAGCTCAAGAATTTGAATACCCTTTAAAGAATTTCAGAGAAAAAAATAATTTCTAATTATAGCTTAATAAATCCGAAGCTAACGAATGACTGAGAAAAGAATAGACATAACTGGTTAAGAGGAATTTAATAACCAAGAAAATAAAACAATTATTATATAATGCTAAACAAACATAAAACAGTTAAATAACCAAGAAAAGAAAAAAGAATATAGAATAAGTTGAAAAGGGTGTCATTTTCTTGACATAATAAACTATAAGAAAGATAAAGTGGATAGTGATTGAAAGTAAAGCTAGAGAGAATTGAAGAAAGGGCTTGTGTTTGAGAAGGTCCGGACCACAAGGTTTTATATATTATTACGCAGTTTAGTTTATTTGTAAGAGGTTATTTTTACGGTTCAAATAACCTAACGATCACATGTCAGCATATTTATCGATTACGTCGGCTCCCTTCTAAAGCTAGAGAGAGACTTGTACTATGTTGTATATAATTGTGTATGCATGTGAATTGTTATTTGTTAAGCTGCATGTTGTACTAAGTGTATACTATACTTAGTGGATTATTTTAATGTAGTTTGAGAAGTGAAAATGAAAGCAAAAGCTATGCCAAGAAATATGGTAAAGAGAGAGAAAATATTATTGTTGTTGAAGAAGAAGAGGCAGCAGATTATGGTTATTATGTACATGGAGATACGAGCCAATAGTAGTAAAGGAACCTTCTGCTTAATACTCTTCCTTTTCCTCCTTTTCATTCTTCTACTCTTTGTTCTTTAAACCATTTACAATTAATCTCTATACCAAGAATTCAACTTCTTATACACCCCCACATCCTTTTCTTGTGGTTTCTTGATCTGGAATCTTTTATTTGACACTTTTCTTTTGATGGGGGTGTTTTCTTTTTCCTCAATATAATTTCTGGGTTTTGGAAAGTTTAACTGTTTGATTAACTGCTTAGCATTTATAACAGAATCTGATATGAGTAGTTTGTTTGGTACCAAGAATCTGGATTTTTTGTGTTTCTTGTGATGAAAAATTCTATCTTGGGAACAAATGTTGAAGATTCTGGTATTGGTTGAGTAGGGTGTTTAAGTCTTGAGTTCTAGAAATTTGGTCAAACAAACTTTAATTTCATTTCCTTATTTGTTTAGATCTTATACTTAATAGATATACATACCAGACTTCGTGTGTATCCAAATTACTGTAATCTGTTTCCCCCTTTCCAATATTTAGTGAATTTTTGGGGGAAACTTTTTTCTTTATATGTAACTTGCAGAAAGGAAAAGAAAAAAAAAAACCCACCATTTTTATTGTGGGTTTAATAGTTTCCAATTAACAGATTAGGAGAAAAGTTTTAAACTTTGATCAATTGAAGCAAAATTGGTGATTATTCTGATTGTGGGGTTACTGCCAGTCTATGGGAGTTCCTGATAATTCACTACTGGATTTGATTGAGAAAATTAAGTCTTGGATTTTGTGGCGAACGAGTCATCCAACTTCCTTAGATAGCAAATGCAACATGGATTTTGACAGTGGCAAAACCTGTTGGGAATGCAAGTTGAAGTTTACGGATTCTTGCAAAAAGTATAATTGCCAAAGTTGCAATGGACTCTTCTGTGGTGATTGCATTCACAATTTTGAATCTTCTGATGTTGTTGTTGCATCTGAATCAGAAGGGACTGTGATTGATATAAAGTCTTGCAAGTTGTGTTCTAATCTAAGGACTTGGCATAAAGGCGCAAACAAGTTTAGTGACAAAATTTATCCCTCAGATTTTGGTACTGACAAATTTGATGATTATTCTTCCCATACTGCAATCAAGAATAGTTTTACAACCTTTTCAAATCATTCATCTCCAGTATCTCTCCGTCACGCGCCAAGCAGGTACCGGATGAGGTTATCATATACTCTATTTTGCTTTGTTATCAAGATAATGTGCTTTTCAAATTCTTTAACATATTAAATGGAAGCACATATATCCTGCATAATTCATATTCCAACATTATTTGTATTAGACCTTGGCATTAATATGTTTTCTCATGATTAGATTTGGATTTGTACCCAGAGTTATCTTGTCTTGAAGTAGTAGATGCTGCAAATATTATGATGTGTCATACTGTACTGTCATATCTAGTTTTATGATCATTAACCAAATCTTTTTTTGTTTGTTTAACTATCAAAATATACTCGAATTTTTGTTTCATTTGGTTGCGGAGTTCTGTCAAATTTGTATTTATAAGCCGCTTTTGGAAATAATTTCAGGAGTGATGAAGACGAAGGAGGGGATTGCACAAACCAATTCTTTAGCCCATCTAGTAGTCATTTTCATGATAATTCAGATATAGATTCAAGTAGTGTTAGTACTAGACATGAATATAACAACTTAAGGTCAGTTGGATCAAGTCCATCGGACAGCCCCTCTAGGACTCGTTTTATTTCCAATAGAGTTGGGCATTCTGTACAGCAAGATCAAAATGATGATGGTCCCTTTGATCAAGAAGCCTTGGATGTTTTAAGAAGGCTTGAGAAAGGGGCAAAGGATCTACAACAGACTGCTGATGATAGTGTTGAACATTTGTCAGTGTATCGGAACCAGTTAGGGAAGCAAAAGCCAGTCGATCTTAGAAATGGCAGTCTCATATGGTTACCTCCTCCACCTGATGAAGATGACGAGACAGAAAATAATTTCTTCTCATATGATGATGAGGATGATGAAATTGGAGAGTCAGGTGCAATGTTTTCTTCAGGTGCGAGCATTACCACCGTGTTCCCTGAAAATGAGAAGGAGCATGTGGATCACAAGGAACCTTTAAAAGCCGTTGTACAGGGCCATTTCAGGGCTCTTGTCTTACAGCTATTGCAAGGTGAAGGAATAAAGTCAGGGAAAGAAAGCAGTGCCGATGATTGGGTTGACATAGTTACATCACTAGCATGGCAAGCTGCGAATTTCGTGAAGCCAGATACCAGTGAAGGAGGCAGTATGGATCCTGGTTATTACGTAAAGGTTAAATGTGTAGCTTCTGGAAGCCCAAGGGAAAGGTAAAATACTTTCTTTTCTTAAACATTTGGGTCTTAGGCTTGCTTACTCATGTCTCATCATTCAGTTTTGTTTCAATGCAGCACCCTTGTTAAAGGAGTAGTCTGTACAAAGAATATTAAACACAAGCGCATGACTTCACACTACAAAAATGCTAGATTGCTTCTATTAGGAGGAGCACTTGAGTACCAAAGAGTTCCCAATCAGTTGGCATCTTTTAACACATTATTGCAACAGGTTTTTGGTTGATTTGTCTATCTTTCTATGATTGAGATAAGAGCAATTAGAGACAAGTTTATGACTTGTATTGTCCTAACAGGAAAGGGAGCATTTGAAGAGGATCGTTTCAAGAATCGAAGCCCACCGTCCTAATGTGCTACTTGTGGAGAAAAGTGTATCTTCTCATGCTCAGGATCATCTATTGGCAAAAGAGATCTCTTTGGTGTTAAATGTTAAGAGGCCACTGCTGGAGCGGATAGCTAGGTGCACTGGTGCTGTTATTACTCCGTCCATCGATAACATAGCCACTGCAAGATTGGGATATTGTGAGCTCTTTCACTTAGAAAAAGTTTCTGAAGAGCATGAACCTCCAAACCATTTCAACAAGAAGCCGTCAAAAACTTTGATGTTTTTTGATGGTTGTCCTAGGCGTTTAGGTTGCACGGTAATTTTTTCTGCCTCAGACTCCAACATTGGTTCTTCTTGTGCTGAAANAAGCTTGAGAGATCAGATGAAATTGAACCCTCTAATGAATTCTATTCAGCTGCTGACAGTCATCAAAGCATATTAGTATCATTTTCTAGTCGATGTGTTCTAAATGGAAATGTATGTGAACGATCTCGGCTTCTCCGCATAAAGTTCTATGGCTCTTTTGACAAGCCACTCGGGCGATATCTTCAGGATGATCTTTTTGGTCAGGTAAAGTTGTTAGGGGTCATCTTCTTATATCCAATTTTTAGTTCTTTCAAGCTATTTATGTATTGCACTTCATATTCCAGGTATCTTCCTGTCAATCATGCAAGGAGCCAGCTGAGGACCACGTCATTTGTTATACGCACCAACAAGGGAACCTTACTATAAATGTTAGACGGCTACCCTCGGTGAAGCTGCCTGGTGAATGTGACAAAAAGATATGGATGTGGCATCGATGTCTCAAGTGTGCACAAATAGAGGGAATCCCACCAGCAACTCCTAGAGTAGTAATGTCAGATGCTGCTTGGGGACTCTCATTTGGTAAGTTTTTGGAACTTAGTTTTTCAAACAATGCAACTGCCAACCGTGTTGCTAGCTGTGGTCATTCTCTCCAAAGGGACTGCCTCCGGTTTTACGGGTGCGTAGTTTGTCTTCTGCCAGTAATGTGCAATCACTCCAATCATTCAATTATTGATTTTCAGTGCTGCTATTTAGAGAATAAAGTTTTCCATTTGCCTGTGCAGGTGTGGTAGTACGATTGCATTCTTCCGCTATTCTCCTATTGATATTCTGTCAGTTCGTTTACCTCCATCAACTCTTGATTTCAGTAGCTACACAGAGAAGGAGTGGTTACGGAAAGAAACAGCTGAGGTGCTATAAGTTCCAAAAACATTTTCCATTATCTTGCAATGATGCTGCGTGTTTGGAATTTTTCTATTTCTTTTTTATTTTTATATTTTAGTGTTAGCTTTTAAATAGCTATGTATAATACTATCTTATGTTTCCTGCAGCTATTGTGCAAAGCCAAAGCCTTGTATGCAGAGATATCCAGTGCTTTTCGCAGGATTGAAGAGAAAAGTATACATGAACCATCTGGTAAAACTGAAGTGCATGACTGCATCATGGAGTTGAAAGACTTACTTATGAAAGAAAAGAGTGATTACCATGTAAGTACCAACAAGAGATTAATGTCTAATACTTCCACATTTTCCTTTTCATGGCAAATTTCTGTGTTCAAGCGTGTAAGATAAATGCGGTCTTCTTCCTTATCCCAGTTGCTTCTGTTTGTTTCTACAACAGGACTTGCTTCAAACTGCTGATGCAGAAACTTCAGAACAAGGGCAGGTAGCGGTTGACATTCTTGAACTTAATCGCTTGAGGCATTCCCTTGTGATTTCTTCACATGTTTGGGATCATCGGCTTCTTTCTGTGGAGTCCCTCCTCCAAGAGAGCTCTGGTTCAGTGGGTTCAGAGGATTCTGGATCTTGTAATGAGCTGACGGATTGGAGAAACGATATGATTCTGAAGAATGACCCTCTTGAGCATGTCTATGAAGAGACTGAAATTGACTTCTCAAACTTAGAGGAATATCCTGAACAGGAGGAGACTCATGAGTCACCTTATGGGCTGGTGGAAGGCTCCATGTTTACCTCGTGTGAGTTCGAGAAAACACAGGACACGCAGATGGAAGGAGAGAATGCAGTTAATAAAACATCCTTGGAACGAGCTCCTTCAGCGGCTTCTGTTCTTTCTGATAAGATAGATTCTGCTTGGACTGGTACTGATCGATCTCCCAAAAAAGCTCAGATATTACAACGGAATGGATCGGAAGCTGCTCCTTTCAGGCAACTTGATTATCCTCCTTTTTCAAGGCTAAAATCACCAGCAAGAGTTAACTCATTCGACTCTGCACTGAGACTTCAAGACAGAATCAAGAAGGGATTGCCGCCTTCTTCGATGCAGTTAACAGCAATTAGATCTTTTCATGCTTCTGGAGACTATAGGAATATGATCAGAGACCCTGTTTCCTGTGTTCAGAGAACTTATTCTCAAATATCACCCAGTGAGGCTCAGAAGGTTAATCTCCTAATGAGTTCATCACCCTCATTTATTTCTTATGCATCTCTTGTACATGATGGAGCCAGGTTAATGGTTGGCTACAATGACCTAATAATATCTGTTTATGACAATGAACCTACTAGCATAATATCTTATGCTCTTAGTTCCAAAGAATATAAAGACCGGGTCACCGATAAGCCAAATGTGACTGAAATGGGTTGGAACACAAACGGCATCAGGAGGGAGAATGGAGCGGCTTCTAATGTTTGGCAGTCTTTTGGCTCTTCAGACATGGATTATATCAATTATGGAAGCTATGGTTCCGAAGATGCTTCCAGTACGATTAGTTCCCTCTTTGCAGATTCGAAGACTTCCCCTCACCTAAGGATCTCTTTTGAGGACGAATCTTCAAATGCCGGGGGGAAGGTGAAGTTTTCTGTCACTTGTTACTTTGCTAAGCAGTTTGATGCTCTGAGGAAGAACTACTGTCCTGATGAACTGGACTTTATACGGTCTATAAGCCGTTGCAAGAGATGGACTGCTCAAGGTGGAAAGAGCAATGTTTATTTCGCTAAGTCATTGGATGAAAGATTCATAATTAAACAAGTCCAGAAAACTGAGTTAGAATCTTTTGAAGAATTTGGACCCGACTACTTCAAATATCTAACGGATTCTGTTAGCTCAAGAAGTCCAACTTCCCTTGCTAAAGTTCTGGGAATATATCAGGTTGGACTCCTTATATGCAGCTTGGTTTGGTGGTGAATAGAAATACTTCTTTTATTTTGAAAATGTTATATTTTAATTTCTGTTGTATATGCTAGGTTTCGGTTAAACAAATGAAAGGAGGCAGGGAAACAAAAATGGATCTGATTGTGATGGAGAATCTCTTTTTTGGAAGAACAATATCTAAGGTCTATGATCTTAAGGGCTCTCTACGATCCCGTTACAATGCCGACAAAACTGGGGCAAACAAAGTGTTATTGGACATGAATCTTTTAGAAACATTGCGTACCAAACCTATATTTCTTGGAAGCAAAGCAAAAAGAAGCCTGGAGAGAGCTGTTTGGAATGATACAGCCTTTTTGGCGGTAAGCTGCTTAGCGTCCAACTTTGTTTCTTAAAATTTCTTTTATATATAACTACTACTATTACTACTGCGCCTCTGTCCCAAACAAGTTGGGTCGGTTATATGAATCCTCGCTGACCATGTTTCTACATTTAATCATCCAGGCAAACATTACACAAAATTTTCTCTATACTTCTATTTCCATAAGAATCTCTAGTAGGGCTAAAAGACTCCTAGAAAGCATAGTATTTTTTTTTTCAAAATTCTTTTTTTTGGATAATGGAGGGTACACTAGTCTCCTTTGGTTTGATAAGCACTTTATCAAGGAGTACTGTTATTATTTGTCTCTAAGTAATATGAAAACAGAACTTAGGATGTCCAGTTTGCTAATCTCAGTTATATTTCCTGCTAATGGATGTGCAAATACGAGTCCGTGTGTACGTAGGCATATGGTTTTGCTGTAAGAGAGAAGGGTAGCAAGGAGCAAATGTCTTACGAGTCAAATTTAGGAAATTCAGTAGAAATTAGCCACCCTACTGAATTGAGCTTTAAGCTTCAGGGAAGGAGTAATAGCTGGACTTAAAAGGTTGAAAGTATTAGATTTATTAGCAAACTTGAACTGTACAAAGTTAAATTAAGAAGGTTGACTATTAGGATTTTTCTCATTACACGGCTGACATGGCATATCTAGTAATGTATTGATTTTCAATCTATCTATTGCCATGAATAATACCCGAGAACCCTACTGTTTCTGTTTTGACCAAAGATGTTTGATTTGCACAGAAATATGCAGTACATAATTCATCTAAATCACTTTTTGTATCTGGAGACGTATGATTTACTTTTAAAAGATGGTACAGTGTAATAGCAATATTGTAGTTTGACAGTGTTGTATGGTTCGTAGGAAGTTTCACTAAGAGAGCTCTTCTGTTTAGGTTGTCACGCTACGATATGACAAAACTTTTGTTGGATTGGAAGGCGCTAAATTTGATTTAACATGTTCCTTTAGCTGGTTTGTAATTGTTTATTAGTGCTGAAGTAAAATGGCGTTGTACTTGAAACTTTCTCCATGGAGTTCAGTCACCAAATTTATTTTACTTTTACTCTTTTCTCTTCTTTTTTTTTACGTATCTAGTTTGAGCGATGACTGATAAAGCTGCTCTTGTTGGCAGTCGGTTGATGTGATGGATTACTCTTTGCTAGTTGGGGTGGACGAAGAGTGCAAGGAGCTAGTCGTAGGGATCATAGATTTCATGAGGCAATATACTTGGGACAAACACTTGGAGACATGGGTTAAGGCATCCGGGATACTTGGAGGGCCGAAGAATGCATCGCCAACTATTGTTTCTCCGAAACAATACAAAAAAAGATTCAGAAAAGCAATGACAAGCTATTTCCTCACAGTGCCTGATCAATGGTCATCTTAAACATCTTAAATTCATTATATTCATTACAAGAACTTTCTGCCAATAAGCAAAAACAAAATGGTATTTGCAAAGAACTGCAGGAAGGGAGGTTGATCTATTCCAATTGGTACATTATATTCTTTTGTAATACTAGGGGTAGCAATTGGCCCCTTGTAAAAGGTTTAGAAATAGTGAACTGTCATCTTGTGTGTTGAGAAATCTGGCAAAGGGTACATTTGATTTAACCATCTGTACATTTACAGGCTTCATCCAGGTAATTAATAAAGTTTCTTTTTATATTTCTGTTATTAGTCATTGCATCATCAGTGTTAGTACTTTGTATCTGGACTTTGATTTAGAATTTTTTTAGGGAAAATGACACATTGTATAGCCGCTCTCAAAATAATAGCCTAAAAATTGTATTTTTGTTGTATATTGTTTGTATATATGTGCATTTTTGTACTATGTTATATACAAAAATATACAAATTTTATATACTTTTGTGGCTACTAGATGTAAATAGTTTCGACAAGGGCTAAAAGTGATATGTGCCTAATTTTTTTCTAAGTCCATGGTAGGTTGCGTGTGGACATTGTGTCAACTAGTCTTCGTTTTATGCTGTGAGAATACTGTGTCAAATTGGCACGAGCGAGGGGTGTGTTTACCTTCAAAATTGGATAACAATTGAATTTATATGTGATTTTAAGGATACGTGGATTAATTTGACACAAAGCAGTAAATTGGATTAGATTGAAAAGTAAAGATAAAAATAAATTCAAACCACACGCGTAGGATAGTTTCAGCCTTACTGAAATCTTTCCCCTCGATTTGGGCTCACTGTGACCAGCACTGATGAACAAGATAAGAGCTAATGATAGAGAAAAGTGATAATATATTTCTTTGGAATGCGTGTTACAATGTGTGTTATAAAACATCAAACCCCTTTTATATAGTAGGAGAGTCTCACTCTAGGTACAATTCTTATAAAGGGTAAAAATCTTCTAATTAATTGATTGTCGGTTCCCTATTGATATATGCCGAGATCCCCGTCGTGATACCCGACCAGTCACGGATATCATGGTCTTTTGTTGGTCATGTGTGATTACCTGACAACGTCCTTCGAAGTTATTCAAAGCTAGGACTGGTCCCGAATCATGACCCCGATATTCTCGAGGATGGGCGTTACACCCCTAGACTTTGACTCGATGAGAACTTCGCCTCGATTTCAGCCCCTTGCCATTATGTCTCAAGCTTGGCTTATCACGTCAAGAACCAGGGTGTATCACGAGCCGATGTTGGTAATTGCTATTTGGCATCTACCTCGGTGACCGAACCCGGGATTTTTATCGTTGTAAGTGCGGATATCGGGATCACATTTCGACCGCGAACATTTCCTTCGCAGTTGCTTGTTCTCCGTAGATTATGTTAATCCCTCCTAGCGTTGGGAATTTTAACACTTGGTGCAGGGTCGAAGGTACTGCCTTCATGTTGTGGATCCATAGCCTCCCGAATAGAGCGTTGTACCTCATCTCTCCTTCGATTACATAGAACTTGGCTTTCTAGATGGTCCCGACGACGTTCACCGTTAATGTTATCTCCCCTTTAGTGGTTTCACATGCCATGTTGAATCCATTTAAAACTCGGACTGCAATCACGCTTTGATCTTGTAGACCGAGCTATTTCACGACCCTCGATCTGATGATGTTGGCTGAGCTACCTTGATCAATTAACACACACTTAACTCGGGATTTATTTATGAGTACAGATATTACCACTGCATCGTTGTGAGGATGCACAACCTCTTCTGCGTCTTCGCCATTGAAAGACAAGATTCCTTCTGGCACATAATCCCGAGTCCGTTTTTTCCTTGTGATGGATACTTTGGTGCGCTTCAACATCGGCCTTTAAGGAAAGTTGACCCCCACTGATGATCATGCTAATGATGTGCTGAGGTTCTTCCTGCTTGATCTATTTATTAGCATCTCTATAACTGAAATGATTCTTGGCTCAATCGCTCAGGAATTTTCGGAGATGCCCGTTGTTGAATAGTCGGGCTACTTCCTCTCTTAATTGTCAGCAATCTTCTGTTTTGTGTCTGTGAATGCCATGATATTTGCATATTAGATTAGGATCCCTTTGGGCTGGATCGGACTTTATAGGTTGAGGCCATTTGGTGTCTTTGATGCGTCCGATGGCAGATACGATGGCGGCGGCGGCGACGTTAAAGTTGTATTCCGATAATCTTGGTGCTTCCTTAGGCTCGATGGGCCTGTCGAAACTATTTTTGCTCATGAGTCCCCGATTATCTTGACCTCGATCGCTCCTCTTCTCACTTCTCATAGGGTTTCGCCCGAACTCGTTACCTCTTCGGTCCCCGTTGTACGGTTGGTAACGATCCTTGTTTGATCTTGGTTCACGATCAATTTCTCTCTTGACCATGTTGACAGCTCTAATGGGATAAATGGACCCAGAAGGGGCCACAAGTTGATCATCTTGGACCCTGATTTTTGATTGATACAGTTATGCACGCCATCTAAAGTAACAATCGGATACTCTACCAGATTTTGTTTCAACTACTGTAAAGCCAACGAGCTTCGAACATTGAGTCCCTGGGTGAAGGCCTAAATGGCCCAATCGTCCACGGCCGTAGGCAGGTCCATCCGTTTCATTTGAAACCGACATACGAATTCTCTGAGCATCTCATTGTCCCTCTATTTCACTTTGAAAAGGTCTGACTTTCTGGTCTCGACCTTGATAGCCCCAGCGTGTGCTTTCACGAAGGAATCTGCAAGTATAACAAACGAATCAATAGAATTAGGAGGTAAATTATGATACCATATCATAGCTCCCTTTAACAGAGTTTCCCCGAACTTTTTCAGCAGGACAAACTCGATCTCATCATCCTCCAAGTCGTTCCCTTTGATGGCACATGTGTAGGAGGTTACGTGCTTATTCGGGTCGGTCATTCCGTTGTACTTAGGAATCTCAGGTATGCGAAACTTTTTAGGGATCGACTTCGGAGTTGCTCTCGAAGGGAAAGTTTTTTGAACAAACTTCTTGGAATCCAGGCCTTTTAATATCGGCGGTGTTCCTAGTATTTGATTGATCCTAGAATTGTAAGTTTCCACTTTTTCGTTATTGGCTTCTATTTTCTTCTCTCCCGATTCTACCCGTTTTGTCAGCTCCTCGAGCATTTTAATGATCTCGGGATTGGTTCCCGATTCATTTTATTCGGTCTCTCCGCGACCGGTCCATTTCTGCGGATGAATTCCCTGGACGGCTCGGGCTCAATTCTGCTCGGGGCGCCGCTTTGGTTCTGGAGCTGGGTTATTGCTGCCTGTTGAGCCTATAACATTTCGAAGATCACCCGCAAGTTGATCCCATCATCTTCATCGCCGTGCATATTTTGTGCAACCGATTGGACTTCCCTGCAGATATTGTTCTCAGGATCGGTTGGCAAATTTGCACTGATGGCCACATGTGAGCTAACGGCGATCGGGTTCGCAACTGGAACTCTGTTGGGGTTGACGGAGGGCACCTCGTTACCAGGCGCTACATTGTTGTTCTGGCCATGGTGGTCGATTCAACATCCATGTTTAAAGGGGCAGACTGGGAGTTCGACATTTCAAACTTTAACCTGAAATCAAAGACATTCCAAACAACTAGTGTAAAATAGGGTGTGTTATAGAAGTTTGTATCAAATAGCCACTATTATCCTTAGCCCCACGGTGGGCGCCAAACTGTTTACCCTCAAAATCGGATAACAATTGAATTTGTAAGGATACGCGGATTAATTTGATACAAAGCAGTCAATTGGATTAGATTGAACAAGTAAAGATAAAAATAAATTTAAACCACACGCGTAAGATAGTTTCAGCCTTAGTGAAATCTTTCCTCGCGATCCGAGCTCACTGTGATCAGCACTGATGAACAAAATAAAAGCTAATGACAGAGAAAAGTAAAAATATATTGCCTTGGAATGCGTGTTATAACGTGTGTTATGAAATATCAGACCCCATTTATATAGTAGGAGAGTCTCACTCTAGATACAATTCTTATAAACGGTAAAAATCTTCTAATTAACTGATTGTCGGTTCCCTATCGATACATGCTGAGATCCCCTCCGTGATACCCGGCCGGTCACAGATACCACGGCCTTCTGTTGGTCGTGCTTGATTACCTAACAACGTTCTTCGAAGTTATTCAAAGCTAGGACCGGTCCCGGACCATGACCCCAATATTCTCGAGGATGGGCGTTACGCCCCCAGACTTCGACTCGATGAGAACTTCGCCTCGATTTCGGCCCCTTGCTATCATGTCTCGAAGTTGGCTTATCACGTCGGAAAACGGGGTATATCACGATCCCGGTTTTACCCCTATACAGGGTGTTTTACTCCTTCCACTTTCGTGTCCCTCTTCTTTTACTGGCTAGATGCGTAAGCCAAGGTTCAAACTTGAGTCAAGTCGAGTAAAGAACCAATCATAGAGAACAAGCCGGCTAAGTATATCGCGGAGATGTCTGCTTTGTACATTTGTTGAGTTAGTCCAACTCAGGCGCCACCTAGTTGTCTTCGTGAAATGCGTTTAATTTATTAGGAATGCGATTGTCCACTCAAAAAATGAATTCTACGGACTAGAGGGAACCATATCTTGGGAATGTTTGCGTCTCGTTCCAAGTTCATTTTTAATTGTGGGTCATAAGGCGAGCAGCTTTGTCCGATTATGATCGCGCACAAGGGTCAATACTATCGTGATGCGGAAAACCTCACCACGAAAGTAGGAAAGGACCAAAAAAAAAGGGGAAAGAAAGGAAAAAGGGGCAGGCTTTGGATGCTTTTATGCAATCCAAAAGGTAGTACTACTTTTTTAAGCAACAGTCTTTTTCCTTTCCATTTCCTTTTTAATTAGGGTCTGTGGAAAGTTCAAAATTATTTAGTGTTAATTATAGGTTCATCTGGAACATGTGATAATTCTATCTCATGTTCCCCTTTTGTTAAAGCAATTCTAAGAAGCAACTTTCTTAGCCATTCAAGAAAAGAATCGTCCATGCACTTCTCTCAAATTCCTTATTCTCTTTATTTTTTTTAATCCACAATTACTATTATAGTCTGTATGTGTAAGGTGAGAGCTAAATTTACTCCCTCACTTCTTCTCTAAACTTTTTCTTCATATAAAGAGACAAAGATATTAAGAAAACTGCGAAAACGTAATAAAACCGATTTTTATTCTGGTATGTTATTATGTCAATAATTTTGCACGCTACATAACACACATATTTAACAACCTTAATCATAAGAGCATTTATTTA